CTTGAACACGAAACTGCTTGTTTTCTAAAACCCGACACACACTTCAACCAACGGTTTGCTTTCTGGACCTTCAAACTCGCGGATGAACACACTATGTGTTCTTGAACATGAACCCATAAATTAAACATGAACCCGCTATGTGTTCTTGAACATGAACCTAAAAATTAAGCATAAACGAAGAACTCGAACACTGAAATCGTTTTCAGAACAAGATGTGTATGTGTGGAAAATAGAGAATCAGGTATTCTCCTTGAATCAATTTTCAGATTTGGAAAATAGAGAAGAAGAGCCCTAATTGATTGCAGATCTTGAATAATCTATATGTTTTCTCTTTCTTGAATCAATCTTCAAGTCTCCCTCTCCAGAAACAAACAAACACAAGAACCTTTGAGTTCCATCGATGAACCTTCAAACGAACACATTCATCTTTTTCCAAAAAAAAAATAACACATTTACACACACAAATCGATTTCCACTTGTATTAGATCTGTTTTGGAGACATGAAGAGGTTCCCATCAGATTTGAGTTTCTCAGATCCGACCTAGAACTCGCCGGAATATTCATGTTCATTGGAATCTCACCGGAGAAGGTGACCGAAGAGGACAAAGACACCAGAAACCAGGTGATAGTCGGTCACAATGGTTTATGGAAACAAACACAAGAACCTTTGAGTTCCATCGATGAACCTTCAAACGAACACATTCATCTTTTTCCAAAAAAAAAATAATAATAACACATTTACACACACAAATCGATTTCCACTTGTATTAGATCTGTTTTGGAGACATGAAGAGGTTCCCATCAGATTTGAGTTTCTCAGATCCGACCTAAAACTCGCCGGAATATTCATGTTCATTGGAATCTCACCGGAGAAGGTGACCGAAGAGGACAAAGACACCAGAAACCAGGTGATAGTCGGTCACAATGGTTTATGGAAACGCAATCAACAAATTAAATGATAATTGAATACAAAAAAAAGGAAAAGTGACGGAATGAAAACAAACAAAATAAATGATTACCTCTTAAGTCATTTTCCCTTTTTGTTTAAAAAATAAAAATTAGAGATATTTTATGAAATCAAGCCTTATGCAATAGCAACGGTTGAAAACAACCGATGGAGATGGGTGTTTGGTTTAGTTTTTTAGAAGCAAAAAGTTCTTTTTACCAAAAGATAGAAAGCAAAAGATGTTTGATAAATGCATTTTAAAAATTACTTTTGGATTTGAATACAAATAAAAATGAATTTTTTGGAAAAGTAGAAAAGATTTGAACTTTTGTGATTTTTCCAAAAACAACTTTTGGGCTTAAAAAAAAGGTAAACCAAACACCCTAAATCAAAAGATATCTGGATTTGAACACTGCACATCATTTCTGCCGGCGGTCTAGGGTCCGAAATTCTGGATGAATGGAGAACTGGAATTACATGTATCGCCTATAATTGCCAAATTCACCCCATTATCACCTGAAAGCTGACGATATTTTCCCTATCCATCGGTTGACTCTTAAATTGATTCATCTATCTTGCGAGGAAGGCTGATTCAATCAATCGAAGGGTGAGATCTACCATTTTCATCAAGGTAACATTCACACACTGCCATTGTTTTCTTCTTAATTCTTAACTATTTCAAACTCCATTCTCTGAGTACAAGAGGGCATATACCAGTATGCCACATCTATAGATTTCTTTATCATTATCATTATTATTTATGTTACATCGCTAAGAAAACAGTAGATAATAGTTTTTATATGGTTACTTGATGCAATAGTGTGGCAACACATTTTGTGTATCGATCATTTGGATAGTGCCTCTGTCGTAAAACCAATCACCAACTGCCTGTGCAATAGCCTGTAAAAATCGTGTTTCAACTTACAATGCTATAGAAATAGAGACGATAAAGGAACATGTTTGAAGGAGATGTTTACCTTATGGTTCAATTCCCAAGCAGGATTTCCTGACCATTTTGATTGGTATTCACATTGGCCATGAGTAAAACAATTGTTCACAAACCATCCTCTTGATGTACCATTTCCAACCACCAAGAATGCTTCTAAAAACTCCCATCTGAAATCTAATCAAAAGCAACAAGAAAAAGATATTACAAGTCTCATCTACTTTCTATAAACCAACTAAGTGGCTGTTTGATAACATCTTTATGGAGCCATTCAGAGGCCAACATTCAGCGAGTTTATTGACCTTGTAGCCTTTGGATCTGTGCAGATGAACACACATTTATATCTTCTTTGCATTTGGTAAAGAGTCCTTTAGGATCTGCTTGTGGCGTAGCCAAGATGTTTTGTACCTTAATATTTACAAAATCAAGTCAAAGAACAAGTGTAAGATGTAATCTATTCAAAATTGATTTGTACTTAGGAGAAAAAAAAAATTCTGATATGTTGTTTTAAAAGCTTACCTGGAATGTATCGTATGTCGTTTGTAACATAAAAACAGGTGTTTTGACATATGGGATGACAAATTGTGGGTAGAAACACTGCAATATAATTTTCGTTAGTAAATTAGGTTCTATGAATCTATGGTGAGTATAAAATGTTAGCAAGATACAAGTACTTACTAGACTTGGCTTCATTTTTGAAGTACATTCGGGATTCAAATTTTTAGATGATCCCTATAAATACCATTACACCAATAAACGTTTACCTTCCAAATTATGTGATTTTTTGAATAATTTACATCATAAACTATCGAAAAGGAATAGTAAAAGGAGATAACATACATGTAATGTAACTATCATATCGTAGTATCCCTCAAACTTATATTCTCCAGATAGGTCTTTTCTGTTAAAATTCAACGAAAAATACATATCGATTGGGAACAAATGTACGTGTGTGTGAGAAATAATAATGTTTGAATTGATGTAGAAAGATAAACTTACACATGAGCAAAATAGCCAGCATCTGAAAAACATTTTACTCGAGTACTTTTGGGAAAGAGGTCTCGGAACTTGTCACAGTGTAGTATGGAAGCTAATCCACCAGCCGAAGATCCCGACAAAAGAGCCTGTTGCCATTGTGTTTGAGATTCTTAAAATCGAAACAAATGAGAATACAAATAGAGAGGATAGATTTTACATTTGATGCAAACTTCATCCCTTTGCTAAGCAATTCATCAACAATGGCATTAAAGACCCTTGCACCCCTAAAATGAAGATTTGTAGCCTTCAAAACAAATGACAATTAGATAATTCATATCATACAGTAAGATGCTATGATAAACAAAAATTAACTCGAATTTAACCCAAATATATATGGTAGTAATATGACTTACAGGATCAACTGTTTCCACATCTCCGGTAAATGACGACCCATCACAATATCTCATGACGACCCTGTTCCAATTGTAGAAATCTATGGAAAATAATTTAGACTTTTTTTTTTTCAAGGTCTTTCATAATCACTTCAAGTAATAAAAACACGTACTCGGATTTAATTCTTGCTTATTGCTCATAATACCCGTGAAGTTATAGTCAGAACTCTTCATGTTCTTCGATGATCCATATAGATTATATGTCCTATTATAGCAATCTTTTACTGAATAGCACCATCCTCCACCCTAACAAAAAATAAGCTCACCAACATATATATACCTACACATGCATATATACATACATACATATTTATAGATATATAACATATATACTGACCTGTATATGAACCAGCCAATTTTGAAGACCTTCACCAAAACCAGCATCAAACTGATATGCTGGTGGGCTTCCATCTAAGCAAACTTCATACCACCATTTTACCACAATCAAAAACAAAAACTTTCTATTAATAGAAAGAAAAAAACAAGCTAAACAATCAAAGTTCACCTGCTCCTTTGGCCACAGCTCCCTCAATGAGGGTTATACCCTCCCCACTTGTGTTTTCAATTTTTAGAAGGATGAATATACATACTAATGAGTGTGGGAGCCATTTGTTTGATCTTACTTTCATCGTAGTATATACTCAAAAAATTGCAAACCTCAAGGTCAGATGTGTGCACATATATATATATATATATATATATATATATATATATATATATATATATATATATATAGGCCACTTTTATAGTAAGTCACATTCATAATATGAAACAAACTTTAAAAGATATGATATGATGAACTAAGAAAATTGCTTCTGCTTATTTATTTACTTTCGTTAAATTAGTAAAAAATATTAAGATATAATTATTGTAAAATCATAAATATATTTTGGATTTCAAACAGGAAGAAGAACAATAGAACATGTCCAATATTCGAAGAAAAAAGTATGTTCGTTTTATACTGAAATCTAGCAATAACAAAAAGTTAAAGAATCACGGCAAAAGCGAACTAGATAGTTACGATAAAAGTACAAAAAGTCTCATTAAATTGAAGAATACGTAATAATAAATAATATTTCGTATTCTGAAGTTTTAAGAACATATCCTAGACCTAACAAAAAATTAAAGAAACCTGAAAAGGATGGAGTAGATTGTAATAAATGCATAAAAAAGAAATTTAGTTAAAAAAAAAAAAAAAAAAAAAAAAAACGATTATACTAGAGACTAAAGAAGTTTTTTGGTAGAGAGAAAAATCCGTGGCTTTTTCAACACTAAGATCCAAAATGGTCCATCTCGAAAATGGAGATCAATTTGACAAATACTCAAAAATTAGATTATTTATGAAAATCATATGACATTTCTGTTTGTTATTATTCTAATATTAATTATTTTATTTATATGGATACCGATGCATACCACTACCCTCCACTAAATGATGCACTCGACACGCGTGGTTCAAGGCTTGGCATGTGGGTTTTGCATCCCAAATATTTAGTGTTTTGACCACTACCAAACTAAATTTATAAAAGATAATCCACAATATAACCAGTTATGTCCTCAAGTAATATTATACATTGATGCTATCTTTTTAACAACTTCGTTTTATTGCCTTGGATCCGTTAAATGTACAAATACAACTCAAATTAATTATCTTAGTCATATATTAGTTAAAAGAAAATAAACAAGGAAAAGGTTCTACTTTTCAAAAAATTACAAAAACACCTAATCACAAAGTTACATAAATGTTCCATAGGTAAAACTAAAATTTACAGAAATGGTCCCTGACAAAATAGTTACAGAAATGGTCCCTATAATAAATCACATTCGCTATTTGAATACTTTTAGACATGTATTACAATCTATGAATTTCTTTATAATTATTATTATCATTTTATTATTTGACTCATACCGAACTTATACATAAAAAATGGGTTAGTTGATGCAATAGTGTGGCAAGATATTTCTGTGATCGCTTATTCTGACTATGCTTCTATCGTAAAACCAATCACCAACTGACTGTGCAATAGCCTACAAAAGATGTGTTATGTGACTGACTAATAGAAACATATATTATATATAGACCACAAGAGAAGATGTGTAAAAAGGAGATCCTTACCTTATGCCTCAATTTCCATGAACGATATCCTAACCATTTTGTTTGGTATTCAGCTTGGCCATGACTAAAGCAACTATTAACAAACCATCCTCTTGAAGAATCATTTCGAACCACCAAAAATGCTTTTAAAAAATCCAATCTAAAATCTAACCAATACAACAATAATCAAATGTTGTTACACGTGTTTTCCACCATCTTCAACCCTTAACATAATTTTACATCAAATTTATAAAAATATAGTAATAATTCGTGAAAATTGTAATTCTTCTCCGATGGTGATTGTATTTTTACAATGAAAAGAATATTCCATTGTTTCTAATCTCAATAGATTTTTAAAAGTAAGCCTCGTAATTGATTTTTTTTTTTTTTTTTTTTTTTTTTTTTTTTTTTTTTTTTACAAATTTAACCAAATCTTTTTATTAAAATTATAAAATATTAAATGACCAATCGACATAAATTATTCATATATATATAGATATTATGGTATAATCAAAACGACCATTTTACTAAACTAATATGAATTTAATTTATAAAATAATATCACATGTAACAAATATCACATAAAAAATATTAATATACAAATAATTAACTAGTTATAAATACATTTATTCAAAATTAATGGCCAATTTGTACAAACAAAACTTTAACACTAAATATAGTGACACGATCATTGGTGTTTTACTATTCACCATATAAAGCAGGTGCAAAAATAGGATTTGGTGTTGGGTTGGAGATCTTTTAGGATATTTTTTCTCATTAAGTTGTCTAGGTGAAATTAATATTGTCTAGATAAATGATCTTTGTGAAAACCTATTTACTGATTTTTCTCTATTAAATCATTCTTTTTCTATATAAGTGTACCATATTATGCTTAAATCCATTACTTAAAAAGGAAACAAACACCTAAAGCCAATAATCTTTTTGAATAAAAAAGCAAAGACATTGACCTCGTAGCCTTTGGATTTGCGCAGATGAACACAAATTTATATCTTCCTTGCATTTGGTAAAGAGTCCCATAGGATCGGCTTCTGGTGTCGCCAAGATGTTTTGGATCTTAATATTGCAAAATTAAGGCAAAGCACAATCGTAAGATGCAATATAAACTTGATTTCTACGTGATTTGATGAAACTATAAAAAAAAATTGTGAGACAATGTTTCAAAGCTTTACCTGAAATGTATCATATATAGTTTGTAATATAAAAATTGGTGTTTTGACATATGACATGGCAAATTGTGGGTAGAAGCACTGCAATATCATTTTTTTTACATGTTCATCAGTAAAGTGCGTTCTAATAACTTTATAAATATTAAAAATGTTATCAAGATAATGTGCTTACTAGACTTGGCTTCAGTTTCGAAGTACATTCAGGATACAAATTCTTGGATGATCCCTATAAGCACAAAAAAATGTTTATCTTCCATTTATATAATTTTGAAACACTTTATATCAGTACTAGATCATAGTATTGAGAACATACATGTAATGTAACCACTTGATCATAGTACTCCTCAAACTTATATCCTCCAGAGAGGTCTTTTCTGTTAAAATTCAACAAAAAAACACATCTGAACCTTATTAATTTTGGCATGTAACAATTAATCCCTACTGTTCTACAAGTGTCATGTCCTCATGTAATTGGATAAGGTTATTTTGGTACTACGTTAACAAATGGAAGGCGTATACTTAAAAATATATGATCATATCTATTGAACAAAAGCAACATTGTTGATGTAGGAAGATAAGATAAACTTACACATGAGCAAAATAACCAGCATCTGAAAAACATTTTACTCGAGTACTTTCTGGAAAGATATCTCGAAACTTGTCACAGTGAAGTATGGAAGCCAATCCACCCGCTGAAGACCCTGACAAAAGAGCCTATTGGCATCGGTGTATAACTTTTGTAAACTAGGAACAACCAATAATATACAAAGAGAAGGGGTCATTGGGGATTTTACATTTGATGCAAACTTCATTCCTTTGCTAAGCAACTCCTCAATAATGACATTGAAGATCCTTGCACCCCTATAGTGAAGATTTGTAGCCTTCAAAATGAACGACAATGAGAATCCATGGGAGAATAAGAATGTTCAACTATTCTTATCATTTTCGGATGACAAAGACCATATATTGTATATAGTATATACTGTGAGACCTGTATACTATACGGGTTGATTAAAAGAAAATGTTAAATAGAAAGTTTATTTGAATTTGAAATTTGAAACAAGTGAAAATTATGAGAAAAAAAAGCATGCTAAAACAATAAATTAAAATTATGTGTTTAACAGTTTAGTTATCATACCCGTATACTAAACGGGTTAATTAAAATAAAATGTTAAATACAAAGGTTTAAATTGTAAATTTATTTGAAATTGAAATCAAAATTTCAAATTTAAAATTAATTATCGTTATGGTACGTTTAAGTTTAATTTATGGAAACTAAATTATTTATATGTTGGAAAATGAAAAATGAAGTAAATGAACAGTGGAAAATAAATATCTCAAAATTATGACAAAATAACATGTGACCAATTGAATGAGAGAACGACATATGACAGAATGGATCTTTATTTATTAGTATAGATTTTTGTATTGATTTTAAGAATCTATCAATGAAATGGACCGAACTAAGAGCATTTAAATTCCTGGAAAACAAGGGAATGCTTGTTATTATGAGCCATGTTTTGAAAACCATACGGTTCGATCGATTCAACCGAGAACCGGTCCCAGATCCGGTTTTTAAAGGCCAAAAACTAGTATTCATGCGAACCGGTAACGGAAATTTTAAAAAATATTTATTTTTTTTCATTTTTTATATTTTTTATATAATTAAATATAATTATGACATCATTCGGTTTTTCCGGTTTTTGAGACCGGTCCGACCAGTTGGACGACTTGAACAATCAAACCAGTAATACGAACGGTTCGGTCTCCAGTCCGGTTTTCAAAACCTTGATTGTGAGTGAAAAGAATTTATGATTTTTATGTTGCATGTTGTTTTTACTAAGAATTGTAAATATGTTGTTATTTGGGTAACAATTATAAGTATGTTGTCATTATGGGTAACAACTGTAAGTTACAATATTGGTTGTAAATGTAATGACTATTAGTTGTAATATTATGTTGACAATCTATTAAGTTGATATTAATCGATCACATATATTAATTTCAGTTTTTATGTTTCGAATTTATTTGTAGATGTTGTAAAAAAATTTGGCAATCTTTATAAATTATAAAATAAAATATATTATAAATATATTTTTTGTGAGGAAATGTTGTAACAAGTTGTAGATACCATTAAACCAACTATCATTCTGATATAGAAAATGACGAGGACATCCTACCTAAGTCAAAACACTAATTTTTGAATAAAACGTAAATATTATCGGTAGTCAATTTTAAATTAAATTGGCTTAATTGCTGGTTTCCAAAAATTACAATGATTAATATATCAGAATATATGGATTTTTGGCATTTGAAATGAAGTGTATATACGTTGTTTAGAAGTTTTATTGCTTTTTTAATAAAAAGTAAAACCATTAAAAAAGTACAAGATAAGGCAATGCAATGATGATATAAAATGTATGGTACACATAACACATGACTTACAGGATCAACTTCTTCCACATCTCCAGTAAATGATGACCCATCACAGTACCTCACAGCGACTCTATTCCAATTGTAGAAATCTATCCAAATTAATTAATTACAAAAATAATCAAAAGTAATTTCCAAATTAATTCTTTGATACTTTTTGTAATTAATATCATAATAAGTAATAAAAATACGTACTCGGATTTAATTCTTGCTTATTGCTCAGAATCCCTGTGAAGTTGTAATCAGAACTCTTCATCATCTTTGAAGATCCGAATCGATTATACATTCGTGTACGACAATCTTCTACTGAATTGCACCATCCCCCACCCTATCATATATAAACACATTCACCATGATATATACATACATGCATACATATACATACATACATATATATACATATATAGTGACCTGTATATGAATCAGCCAATTGTGAAGGCCTTCACCAAAACCTGCATCGAACTGGTATGCCGGTGGGCTTCCATCCAAACAAACTTCCGACCACCATTGTTACCACAGTAAAAAATCAAATCTTCCTAAAAATAGAAAGAAAGATGGTTGAAGAATCGAAAGTCACCTGCTCCTTGGGCCACAGCTCCTTCGATGATGTTTATACCACTAAGTATACCCTCTTCACTCGTACTTTCTGTTTTTAGAAAGATGAATAGACATACAAGTGTCTGTAGTAGCCATTGGTTTGATGTTACTTTCACCATAGTATAAATTCTAAAATTTGTTAATGAAAAAGTCAAGTCTAGATATGTGTGTATATATAATGTATAAGTGGGTTTACTTTTGAAATATATTAATAAGAAAATATGATACAAAAGGAAATTGCTTTATTTGTTCATAAAGTTTCTTTTGTCGACCTTATTTTATTTAAATCACATGATCAAGTAACGTGTCATCCTTTTGATTTCTTTTTATTTTCGTTTTTCATCGTACTAATTTAGGTAATTTAATAAAAAAAAATGAAAATAATATAATTATTATAATCTCAAAAACTATAAACAGATAGTTTGAAGTCGTTTTTTTATTTCATGGAGATCGATGCATACTACCACCCTCCCCTGGGTGATGCATACTGGGCGCGTGGTTCAAGGCGTGGAATGTGGAGGTTGCATCCAAAGATTAGTGTTTTAACAAATTCCAAAGAAGAAGCATTAAAGATAGAGTAATCGGCCCTTATACATATGCTAAAATACATATTTGGTCCCTGTTGCCAAAATACATATTTGGTCCCTGTTGTCAAAAGTTATTATGTTCTTATTTATTTATTTATTTTTTGACTTATTTTCTATTTATTATTATTATTTTTTTGAACGGCAGACTAATATTGAATAAAAAGGTAGCTAGAGGCTAGAAATACAATACAAGAGGAAAAGCTAAGAACAAGAAACCAACAAAGAAACAAAACAAAAAACAAACACCAAAATTTATAGTCTGCTATAGCATGCTAGAATCGGATCACTACACCATTCAGACCACTTCAGAATCTGCCATTTCCTCTTTCTAGCATTGATCCAAAAGATCAAGAGTGATTTCACCTCATAAGCCAACGCCGATTGCGATTTTGAAATTGGAGCAGGCGAGTGAGCCCTTAAATTCCGATAATTCCAGATCAAAGTTAGCATTATAGCTTCATTAATCCATGCTAGCCTTTGATGCCCTACTATATTCCTTTTACATTGTAGCAAGAGGATAATCTAACAACCACCACCATTTGCAGATAAGCTGCCAAACTTACCTCGAAACCGGACACTCTAAAAAAATATGTTGTCAGATTCCAGAGCTCCATGGCAGATCCCGCATAAATTTGAGGAACATATTCCAACTCTTGATAAATTAACCATAGTGGGGAGTTTACTGTGACAGATACGCCAAACAAGAATGTTTAATTTTCCTAGGGTCAGCGGGTTCCAGGACCATCTGTCATCGCTAGCTGGAAGAGAGAGTTTGTCAATATGACATCTTAGAGACCCAACCGAATATACCCCAGAAGGTTCGAGCGACCAAGACCATTTGAGAACCCTATTTGGATTCAGAGACCGATGAAAATTATTTGAAAAAGATACACTATCCTTTTCTAGAATTTTTGGGATATTTGCTATGGTGCCCCAGCAGCCACTTTTCCTCTTCTCAACTGATGGTCTGTCGAAACCCCCATCATCTCCATAAATAGATTTAATCACCTTCGCCCACGTATTCTCAGGATAGTTCCTGAATCTCACCACCATTTGTGTAGCACCTGGTTTCCGGTATGTGAATTTTATTTGAGCATTTCCCTATTTTAGCCTTGGACTCGGCGAGTCATAAGGTCCGACTCGCCGAGTAGGGACGAGACTCAGGACACGTTTAAGTTGGCGACTCGGCGAGTCCATATCCCGGACTCGGCGAGTCACCGCTGCTGGATGAAACCCTAAATTTCAAGGGTTTGCACCCTATTTAAACCCTCATTCCGCCCCAAACTCGTCCCCATTCACCCCCCAGAACTCCCAACATCGTTTATTCCCTTATTCCTTGAGAGATTGAAGTGTTTTTGGAGTGTTCTTGAAGATTTTGAGGAGAAAGAAGAGTAGATCAAGAAGAGGAGAAGGAGACCAAGCATCTTTGTGTCATCTCAACGTTTTCCTTGAGGTATAGCTCGTTTCCCCTCTGTTTTCAAGCTTGTAATCTCTTTTAGCTTCATAGGAGTCCTTCCTGGGCTCTTCCCCAAGCTTGTTTGTGCTTTGTGGGTTGTAATAAGTTGTTAGCCTTTAGATCTAGGCATGATTTAGTCCCTGGAGCTTGGATCTAATGCCTTTATGGGGTCATATTGCATGAAAGCCCTAGATCTACCTCTTTTGGTGCACTTTGAGCCTTAAAATCCATATTGGTGAATATCTACACGTAAAGTTGGAAACTTTACGTGTGATTTGTGTCCTAGAAGCCCAGATCTGTGAATGGCATGGACTGGAATCGAGCAAATCGGTGTATTTGATGGATGCATGGCTGCGACTCGGCGAGTCGTAAATGTGACTCGACGAGTCTGGTCGCGAGTCACTGAATTGGTCCCTTCATGATGTGTCGAGTTGAGCCGTGAGTCACAGGGGGTGACTCGGTGAGTTGGGAGCTGAACTCACCCATGTTAGGACTCGGCGAGTCAATGCCCTGACTCGGCGAGTCCAAGGCAATCTTCATAGATCAAGAACAGACTCGGCGAGTTGTTCATACAACTCGGCGAGTCTTAGCATATGTGTTCTTCGGATGAAGATGAACTCGACGAGTTGTTCATACAACTCGGCGAGTAGGATGAAGGAGTTGAATGTCAGTTTAGAAGATGAACTCGTCGAGTCATAGCCCAACTCGACGAGTAGAATCAGGGACCCAGGACAATAGTCTGGACAGGGACTCGGCGAGTGGAGATCCACTCGGCGAGTCGGGTCAACTAAAAGTTGACTTCGAATTGACTTAGGGTAGACCAGGGGTAAAATGGTCTTTTTACCAAAGGACAGTTAGCAGTGTATGATTAAGTATATTGTGGGAATTACAGCCGGGGAGTTTCCGGAGCAGCAGCAGCAGTAGTAGGTGATCAATTCCCACACAGACCAGCAGCTATTTCGAGGTGAGTTTCCTTCCAGTAGTAACGGGTCTAAGGCACCAAGGCCGCCCGTATAGACGAGACGTTAGTATTAGAGTGTGGGCCGAGCCCGTATCTCTTAGTTGAGTTGATTATGATATATGCCAGTATGATAGAATTGTTTACACTTGTTGTCTGTGTGATACTTGTATGATATGAGTTGGCGGTTGAGTGTGGGCGAGGCTCGTATCTCTCCGAGAATGGAGTGTGGGCTAGGCCCGTATCTCCCAGATAGTGAAGTGTGGGCGGGGCCCGTATCTCTCAGAAAGCAAAGTGTGGGCGGGGCCCGTATCTTCACGAGTGTGGGCGTGGCCCGTATCTCCTAATTGCATGTTGTTTGTTAAATGCTTGCATGGTATGGGGTATTATGGGGGAGCTCACTAAGCTTTGTGCTTACGGTTTCAGTTTTGGTTTCAGGTACCTCCTCAGCTAGGGGAAAGGAGCCGGCGCGGTAGCAGCATGTCACACACACACTCTTCGGTTTCCGCATTTACGAGCTTTCTGGGATTGATACTCTGATATTCCGATTAGTTGTATGTTTTGGTTTTCAGACATGGTTCAGTTTATATTATGGATGATCGAATGATGTTTTAGTTATTAATATTTTTCTAAAGTAACGTTTTTAAACAAAAAAATTTTGATGTGAAAATTGGGTCGTTACAATTTGCCCAACAGAGCTAAATTTTGGGCATTTAATCTGCTAATTCCAAGCCCCCCTCTATCTTTATCAGCTAGGATTTTGTCCTAAGATACCCAAGCCATCTTCTTGGAGTTTGCATCTCCCCCCCCCCCCCCCCCCCCCCCCAAAAGAACCGCATCTTAATCTTCTCGAGAGTTTTTATAACTTTAACCGGGGCTTTATATAAAGAGAAATAAAAGGTGCCAAGACTACTCAACACAGCTTTACATAGTGTTAAGCGTCCACCAAAAGATAGATTGGTGGCCTTCCATTTTGATAATCTCGCTTGAAATTTCTCGATGATAGGGTTCCAGTATGACACTCTAGCCATATAAGCACCAACCAGCAGACTAAGGTTTTGTATCATATATATACATTGTAATTGTCTAATATTCTTATAATTCAACTTCTAACTTGATTTACTTTCAAGATTTTTATAAATTTCAAATTTATCTTACTGTTACCTAATTTTCATTTTCAACTATAATATATATAGCCTAATATGTATTCGGCAAAAAGATGTGATGTAATAGGAAGATAATAGTGAAATTTAGAAAATCTTGAAAGTAAATCAAGTTAAAGATTGAAGTTTAAGAACATTATAATAAATATATTAAATAAAACGATGTATTATGGTGAGTTTGGGTATCAAAACTTATATACCCGTATATACCCTTAAGGGGGTGTGTGTGTGTGTGTGTGTATATATATATATATATATATATATATATATATATATATATATATATATATATATATGCAAATTTAGTCCTTGTAGTTTACAAATTTTTTTGGATAGGGTCCAAAAAGTTTTTAGCCTGCATGGCAGGTCCAAAATCAAAACCTTTCCGCGATTTTAGTCCAAAAATACTTGAAAAGACGATTATGCCCTTTTATTTTCTTTTTTTGTATTTTATATATTTATTTAATTTAAAAAATAACATATCCCACCCTATCACTCTATCCAACCCTCCCCTCTCTCTTTTACTCTACCCGACCCTTTCCTTTCTCTTTCACTCTCTCTCCCATCTTCTTTTTCTTCACTCTTCACCTGTTTTGCTTTGAAGATAGCTTGATTAGCGATGAATCGTCCTCCACCACCAGAATCGTCGATGCTTGGATCTGAAGTTGTTGATGTGTCATCGATGGTGCTCAACGATTATCAGGAGACTGGAATACGACATCAGAAGCACACCTGAAGAAACTGGAATCACTCCCAAACGAATCACCATCAATAAAATCAAAATAATCCCTCTCCACATATCTCTAAGCCAAAACACGATTCGCAGCTGAATGACTCACACATCTCTCAACCATTGAAAGTTGAAAGCTTTCCGGTTCTTGAATTTAGCAGGGAAGAAATCGGAAACATATGTTGGTCTTATGTTGTTCTTGTAGAACTGAATCAGGATTCCTTTTTCAATATTTGGATCGAGAACCCTTTTAGAGAAATCAGATTCATTTAAGACACATTTATTCCTTGATTCAATCTCATCGAAGCAAACGTAATTCAACCAACAAACCCAGAAACACTTTCGTTTGAGGCAGATTTAACATTCTCTGTATTTTGATTTGGATGAATCTGAGAAGCATCAATTGATTTGAAGGTGTATTTGGCAAAGTACAAAGAGATAGAATGGGAGAAAAAGACGTTAGGCAGACAAGGCGAAAAGGATGGCGGACGTTGATGATAGTCGGTGGTGACAGTGGCGAACGATGGTGGCTGATTTTACCTTCCATGTTGAAGGTGTATTTGAATGTTTGTGTGTTTTGGAGAATAAAATCAGAAAACTGATGTGTGTATTTGTTAATCAAGATGTTTGTTCTTGACTATAAAGATGTTCTTGGGTGTTAACAATGACAAACCCAGATGAGAGAGAGACAGAGAGAGGGAGAGAGAGAGAGAGAGTGAGAGAGAGAGAGAGAGAGATGGGTTGGGTGGGGGATAATTTTTTCATTTTTCTTTATTTTTAATTAACAAAGGTATTAAATAAATATATAAAATACAATAAAGAAAATAAAAGGGCATAATCTTCTTTTCAAGTTTTTTTGGACTAAAATCACGGAAAGGTTTTGATTTTGGACTTGTCATGCAAGTTAAAAAACTTTTTGGACCCTATCCAAAGATTTTTGTAAACCACAAAGACTAAATTTCAGTTATATATATATATATATATATATATATATATATATATATATATATATATATATATATATATATATATATATAGGGGTGTTGAACGGGTAATTTTTTCGGGTTTCGGGTAATTCGGGTTTTTCATGTTAGAAAAATTACCCGTTACCCTACCCAAACTAAATTCGGGTTTGGGTAATTCGGGTATCGGGTCGGGTTTGGGTAATTCGGGTATTACACGAAATATATGATTTTTTTTTGAATTTCACCTAAAAATAAATTTAATGAAATAAATACGTCGTGCTTTATTAGTCTTGTTTATATAAACAAACGAGACATAAACGAAGTTACTCAAGCTTTGAACATTGAGATTTTCTACTCAATAATGCATGAGATATCAAGTATTTTTTTAACGACTTAATCTAATCTAATAAAATGTTAATAAAACAAATACCTAAAGATCTTAATTTAAAAGTTTTAAATGTTTAAGATAAATATAGTCATAAGTTTTGTCATGTTCTAAAGTTTCGTCAAAATAATGAGTTTGTTAGTTGTAATAAAAACTATAATATACAAAACAGTTAAGTTTTAAATAACGTGATGATATATAAAAATTACTTTTAATATTGTTAGTGTCATATTGTCATAATAAATATATTTATGTTTTATAATAATGATATTAGTTTAAGGGTGATCAAATACCTACTATATAGTACAAGCTCTACAAAAAAAAAATGAATTTTTAAAATAATTTGGGTAATTCGGGTATACCCGAAACCCAAAAAATGTACCATTTACCCGACCTGAAAAAAAATCGGGTAACCCGATTACCCGGAAAAATTTACCCGATACCCGAAAAAATCGAGCGGGTAATTCGGGTATCGGGTATTTTCGACAGGGCTATATATATATATATATATATATATATATATATATATATATATATATATATATATATATATGATGGTTCACATGTTACCTTGTACAATTAAATACACTTGGGGCGTTTAATTATATAAATGTGTTTTCTGTTGATTTCATGATATGTTCCGTTTTAACTTTCAACCAGCATCTCTTCTATAGAAAAATGAGACCATTAATAAACTAAAAAAATACACACCATCTTACATACATTGTTTGGTTTATAACGACTATGATGTTTGTGAAGTTTATTACATAATATATATTTTTTAAATCGTAATGTCTTCCTGAAAAATGAAGTTAAATGATTTTAATGATGAACAATAAATTACGTTAAATATAAAAAATTGTGTCGTTTATATATTAAACTTATGATGCCGAACTCATATTTGATTCACTAGACATAAACAACATAAACAACATAAGAACATAACTAACTATAAATATATAAAGGCAAAGAGGAAAAACGAACGATAGACAAAAAGTCAAATTGGTGTTGAGTGAGCATGGGATAAATACAATCAATAAAACAAAAGGCTAAAGGCTGATTCTATATGTATCCCCCAATTATTTGGTACACGGGTGTATTCCCATGTTTTGATCATTTATGAGTTAAAAAATATAATAGCACCCAAAAAAATCGTTAATTTTTGTAAGGTTGTCACTTTTATAGCATTTAGATGGCAAGTACTATATACAGACATAGTTACATAAATTTACGATTGAGAAAAAAAAAATAGAAAAAATTATGGTTGCATGTCTTTTTTCCTTTCAAACTAACCTCAAATATGTAACAAACATTTTTTTATGTTAATTGAGGAAGATATAAATTATGTTATGTGAAATGAAATATAGTATTAGGACGTTATTCATCGACAATTAATATCTAAATTCAAAATAACTCGAAATTTCATTGGAAAAATATTCATTTCCTTAAAGCGCATATTAATTATTTTATTTATCATTTCATATTCAATTTCGCATTCAAAATTTTCATTGAAAATTTCAAAAACTTTATTGTAACTTTTTGCTAACTACTATTGTTTTACGAGTAAAGTTAAAATAAAAATTGATCACACAACATTTAGGAAAAAAAAAAAAACAATTACAAGTAATAACTATTGATCAACAGATAAACAAATTCAATTTAAAAAAAAAAATGATTAAAATTATATATCTAGAATACAATTCCAAGTTGTTAGAAATGAACACATTAAATGAAAAAATTTAGTAATTTATAACTAAATTAAGTTTTTAAAGAAAGAGTTTCAACTTTCAAGCAACTAAAGTTAACTTGTGCATTTGCTTGGCATTAAAAAAAAAACAAACAAACTGGAATTCGAATTCTATTCATACCATGTTGGATTAGTACACTGGGATAAATAATTATAATAATAACAATAGTAATATTATTAATAATAATGGTAATACTAATAATGTAATTATAAAATACCGATAGCAATAAGAAACGGAAAAAATACATATACATACACAATTAAAAATAATAAAAACAAAAACAACCATACCAATATCATATCATATAATAATAATTAGGGATGAATGCAATGAGTAGCACTTTCCCTCTGTTTTATTCAACTTAAATATCCTATTATATGAACAATGAAATGATCATTCAAAATCGAATCATTCAATGCTCTAATAAGAAATTCATAAAAGATGAACAGGTCTTTAACGGATGAAACGAAACAAAAATGGTGTCATGATCAGAAATTCATAAAATTGTTAGATAAAGATGAAGAAAAGAAACAAACTTAAAACTATACAACCAAAATCAAACATAGGTTTGTAAAAATGGATCAGAAATCTAACCACTTGGTGTAGTAAACACAGGTAGTTGGAGAGATGAGTCCATCAGGTGTACACTCTCTAATTCTTGGACAAACACCACAAGGAATTGACACCATTGCCCCTGTTTTCAAACCCTGAGCGGAATCCCCTGTTGTATATCTATAACATAAATTCCCAATAGGAATGGAATGGTATTCCCCCAATCCAGTACTCTTCACCTCTATAATCTTATTATCCAAAACCATAGACTTCAATATCTCACTTATCTGCTGACTCGTGCAATCGATATTAATCAGCCCATTTTTAACAGAAAAATCATATACTCCATCAGCAGTTGCAACCTTTAGCTTACGAATGATCCTGAGGCAAAGGTCTTTAAGACCATTAATGAAGTCCTGATCAAGCTCCCCTTTTGAATACCATGAACCACCTGTGATCTCATGTGATGGCTCAAACTCAGCTGCAATATAGTGTTTTCTGCCCTTTAATTGGACATGGGCAACTTCTTTTATTAAACCAGAAGTTAGGAGGTTCTTTATAGACTTGTTGAAAGTCGGATCTGGGAGTCCTGCTTCCTGCTTTAAATCCTTTACAAAGATTGCCATTTCTCTTTTGCTTTTGATCACATTCAGTACTATGCGATCTGATTCCGCTATGTTACCACCTGTTTTTGGTTTCGTCTCTGGGGCTTTTCTTTTCTGTAAGAGACTCATCTTGATGAAGCTGCAACAAGATAAACAATTTGATTTCAGTCATACAGAATCATGCAAACAGAACTAACTTGATTGGTGAGTTTCTACACAAACAGAGGCTTCACAGTTCGAAAGAAATTAACACAGGGATCTCAGGAAGCATAATGCTAAAAAACAAACAAGTGTGATCGAAAGAGGAAGTAGAAGTATAATGATCAAAAGAAAATGAAAGAAGGCAAAAAATAAAAATAAAAAATAGGAAAAAACTTCCAATCGGACCTGAGGTCGATGCCTGGTGGCCGGAAGTGAAGCTCTGAACGCCGTCGAGCAGAAGAAACGTGAAGGGCTTCGAGGTCGGAGGAAGGAGGTCGAAGCGGACTGATTTCTAATAACGTGAAGCCCTAATTTCTATTACTCTCGTAGTGGGATAATCCATGGACATTTTTTACATTCCAGTTAAGTATTAAATTATGCGAGCCCATTTATATTTGGATCATGATAGTTCTTGCATTTAGATGCGTTACGTCATTATTAGGCGTTTGGATAGTAGTACAGACAAACAAGAGCCTTTCAAATAAATCATAGTTGTGAAGAGATCATAAATTGATCGCAATAATCTCAAACTCAGATTAAAATATTGTGTTTGTAAGAATCCACGCATACACACAAGAAGCAAATGCGTCGTTCTTTGCAAGTGGGAAAAATGAAGTGTCAACAAACAAGAGGCTGAAAGAGATAGCATCAACAACAATGGATGAAATGAAAATTAAAAAGTAGAAACCTTGGGTTCAACGGAGATGTGCAGCCGTAGATGATGCGATGCAGAATTGTCCAAAGTGATTGTGAATTGGTGATTTTGTGCGTACATGAAAGGGTTTTACATTTAGGGCTTTGTACGCCCACTAAAGCGTGCGAATTTTAAAAATCTATTAATGTAAAATTTTCATTTAAAACCCATTAAAACTTGAAAAATCAATTTATACCCTTAAAACTTACCCCAAGACCTCCTGTGAGAGTTAAATCGCTAAAATAGTGAATACGAGCAATATTTTGGATTTGTCAGGGTTTTGAACTCTCAACTGTTATATAAAATTTCACTCAGTTCTTATCGCAGGGAACAACTACATTTCAGAGCTTTTAAAATGATAAATCGCATCATATGGATGACCCATGCCAAATATATCCAAAGGTCATCATGTTAGGATAAGTTGTGGGGGCACGAATGCACTTTTGGGTGTGTTTGAATCTTTGGATTTTTTTTTTAGAATTATGAGGATGTTTGGGATTACTTTTCAAATTTATTAGATTTTTGGTTTTTTCAAAAATTCAAATATTTAAAAAGGTGCTTGACAATTCCAAAAGTCATTTTGAATTGATTTTTTGGTAAGAAGAAAAAATAAGTTTTTTTAGAAGTCATGAATTATTGATTTTGGGTTTTTTTTGTTTTTATCACCTCAAAAGTTAATCTAAACAAATTTAAGAAACTTCTTTTGATAAAAACCATAAGTCAAAAAGTCTTTTTTTTTTGTCAAAAATGATTTTTTAAATTAAAAAGTAATCCCAAACACCCCTTATATACATCAACCACTAGCCTGTATAGGCTTAGAAAACTTTTAATCATTAAAAAAAACTTGAATTAAGAAAAAAAAATGTGACGCTTAAAGTTTTTGGAAAAAAAACCCTCATAATCCAAAAGTTATTTCAAGTTGACAAACTATTTTTTATTTGTGCTTTATTGATGTTCATATATATAATTTTACACATTTTACAAACTTAGATATAATTTTGTCTAATAATTCTTTATAATAAAAGTTACAGCTTCCGATTATCAGATATTTTTGCGAAACATACCCAACTATTCTTAGGTTCATCATAGTTTGAGCGGATCAAATGAATTTTCGTATCCTATGCAAAGGGAAACTAAATGATACCTAACTTGAAAATGATATGTTGTACCTCTTATTATTCTTGTATATCTAGACATCATTAGGCATGTCCTATATTATTATAGTTCAATTTTACAATTATAATGAAAACTAAACTAAATTGATATAAAGTATTAAAAATATAAGAAAAATAAAAAAGGACGTGTCTCTCACTTCTTATATAGCCCTACTCAACAATAGTAAAAGAAAAAACACTATAGGCGCAAATAAATAATGTCTTTTCTCTCCAAAATTGAGAATGAACAATTGCGTGGTCGATTTACATGAACAAATTGTGTGGGAGAAAAATAGATTGCGTATAATGTCTACATTTCTTATTTTGTTGTACAAAATCTGATAAGATTTTTTTTTCAATAATGTTTTGAAGTTTTTGGTAGGATCATGACTAAATGAATACTAAGTTACTAACAATTAATGTCTTTGCCATAATTCTTAGCAGTGAATATGACTAAATGCAAAAAGGAATATCAATGTGCTTTCCATCTTTTCTATTATACTTGAATATCTTACATGGACAATGATATGGCTATGATAGATACATAAACATTGCTATCTCTTGTATTCATCTGTAATAACAACACAATAATAATGAAAATAACTATATCATAAAATAATATATTTTGTTTAAATAGTATCAATATAACGTTTATTGCATATCCAACCAGTTTTGGGTGCTTAGTTGGCATACATTGTCCATTCAGACTCCAAAACAGACTACATGTTTGAATGACTAGGAAAAGAATTGCATATGTTTAAATGAATCTGAAACAAAATCGTTTCCACTTTCCATTCTTGACTCCAGATAGATAACATATTTCATTTCAATGTCTAACAAAAGAATATTCATTGAATCAAGATCAAGATCAAGAACTCAAACACCTAAACTATTATATGTACCTCAATGCTGCAGAAAACAGAAACATGGTGTCATGATCAGAAATCCAACCACTTGGTATAGTAGACACATGTAGTTGGAGAGATAAGTCCACCAGGTGTACACTCTTGAATTTTTGGACAAACACCACAAGGAATTGACATCATTGCCCCTGTTTTTAAACTCTTAGACGAATCATCTGATGAACACCTGTAACATAAATTCCCAATAGGAATGGAATGATATTCACCCAATCCAGTACTCTTCACCTCTATAATCTTGTTATCCAAAAACATATACCTCAATATCTCACTTATTTGCTGACTCGTGCAATCAGTTTTTAACAAACCTTTGTTCTTGATTATATCCATTACTACATCAGCAGTTGCAACCTTTAGCTTACGAATGATCCTTAGGCAAAACTGTTTAAGTTCATTGATGAAGACTTGATCAAGTTCCCCATTTTCATACCATGAACCACCTGTGATCTCTTCTGATGGAGTAAACTCTGCTGCAATATAGTATTTTTTGGTCTTGAATTTGACATGGGGAACTTCTTTTATTAGACTCAAAGCTTGGAGATTCTTGAGACACTTGTTGAAAATGGAGTCTGGGAGTTTTGTTTCTTCCTTTAAGTCCTTTTTCAAGATTGCCATTTCTTTTTTGCTTTTGATCGCATTCAGTACTATGCCATCTGTTTCGGCTAGACCACCACCTGGTTTTGGTTTAGGCTCTGGATTTTTTCTTTTCTGTGGGAGATTCATTGAAAGAAAACTAGACGCTTTGAGTAATATTGGATGATGAATCTGCAAGAACAAATAGAGCTTGATTTAGTCAGATTCTACACAAGCCCTACCAAAACAAAAGAAAAGTCAAAATTAAGGATGGTAGAACATGCATAATCATTTTATGGAGCAAGACGACTAAAAACTTTGTATCCAACTAGCGTTTACTCTTTTTATTGATGTTGTATGTGTTCAATTCAATACAATCGGCAAATACATAATCTATTTATCAGCAGCTAGATTCTTTCTCGAATCAATAATTAAGTACTATCAACTTAGACATTATACATTGTTTATTATTCTAGTTAACAAACAATTAGTCAATTATGCGAAGTAAGCTGTATCTGGATAGGAGTAGAGATCACGCAATAGGCAATAGCTGTGTAGAGTTCATAAATAAACTGGTCGCAATAGTCTCATACTCTCATCAAATCAATGATCATTCACTAATAAAATCAGAAAATATACTTGTTCGGATCTATACAGATACTGAGATACATACACATATAAAACCATCTGTCAAGTCGGACAAAAAAATTGAACCCAAATGCATAGAGGAGAGGATAGCGTCGATCAACAACAATGAAGAATTAGAAAATGAGAATTGAAAAGAATTAAGAACTAACCAATGCTACATCTGAAGAAGCGTGCGTGCCAAGGGATAAAGATCTCTTCTACAGTTTGTATTTTTATGGTCTTTTCCATTAGTCGAAGTATTAATTACAAAAAATATTACTATAATTAAATTTGATAAATATTGATTATAAATAATATTTTTTATAATTAATGTATTTAATATTTAGTTATTGTAATATTATATATTATTAATGTTTATTATATTTAATTATTATAATATTTCTTATAATTAATGTTTTTTATATGTGTTCTTAAGATATTGTTAAAGCTAAGATTTTTTTATAATTAATGTATTACATTTTATTATGATAATATTATATATTAAAAAATCTTTATTTTTATATCATACTAGATGTGAGACCTATATATTACATGGGTTTGTTTAAAAAAAAAATTAAAATTTTAACAATTTGAAAATTTTGAATTTATAAGAAAAATGAGAAATTTTTTTAATTATTAAAATTAATAAGGCTTTAATGTATTGAATACATTACATATATAAACTTTTTCTAAAAAATACCTTACATATATATTACCTTATATATTAAATGTGGAACTTTAATTTAATAAAATGAAAAATACAATAAAATGACAAGTGGAAAATAAAAAATTTAAAAATTCTAGAAAATATCATGTGTCTAAATGAATGAAAAGAGAACATGTGGCAAAAAAAATATTCATTTATTATAGTAATTTTCTTAAATATTGTTAAAGCTAAGATTTAGTTTTATCAATATAAAGATCTCTTCTATTATGAAAATAGTTTTGAGATTCTTACCACAAAATATGTTTCTTTACAAAAATTCATGATCTTTGTAAAAATGTAAACATTTTTGCAATATATTTCCGCACTTAATGTTAGTTTCACATGTTAAACTTGTAAAAAACAAAAATTTGAAATAATATCGTTTTGGACTTTTTAACAATTCAAACCTATGAAAATAGTATTTTTCAGAAAGAAAAATGAAAACTATTTTTTTTTTTTTTACATTTCCCTACTTTAGCATATTGAATATGCAAAATTAGTAGTTATTTGGGAAAAAACTTTTTTTCTTTTGCTAAGGGCGTGTTTGGCAAAAGTAGTTGTTAGCTGGTAGCTGATAGCAGGAAGCTGTAGCTTTTATTTGTTATATGAGTATTTGGGAAAAATAGCCGGAAGTTTTTGAAATATATAAAATTACATAAAAGGACAATTGATTAAAAATAAACAAACATATAAATATATTTTTAAGAGTAATTATGTAAATTGATTTCAAAAGCTCAGTAACGTTTTGTTAAACGCTACATGAAGTAGCTTTTAGATTTGGAGTATTTTGTTTAAACTAAAAGCTAAACGTTCGTACTGCCAAACGAAACTTTTTGTTCAACCTAGAGCGTTTTGTCAAAAGCTAAAAGCTAGAAGCTTTCAAACGCTTTCAAAAGCTCCGTGCCAAACACACCCTAAGTTTTGTAAAAAACTCTGGGTAAAGTTATCATTTTCCATAAACCTATCGAAATTTTAAAAATTTCAAACTCTGGGTAAACTCTGGGTAAAGTTATCATTTTTAAAACCCACTAAATTTTAAAAATTTCAATTTACACCTTTCAGTATACAAAACTTAATACAACTATCCAAAAAAACTTTCACATTTAAACCACACTAAAAGTTGAAAGTTTCAATTTACACCCTTTAATATACAAAACTTAAAAAAATCCTCAAAAACACGTTCACTTCATGTAATTTCATTCGTATTCATGATAATTCAAGACGTGGAGCTAGTCAGTTTTTAGTTGGACACTTTAAATCTTCTTCTTGTATTGTTCGTCTTTTCTTCTTTCATATATAAATTCAATAATCACTTGCTTGCTCCAAATCTGTCTGTTAATGTTATCTCTGAGAACATTATTCTTACATTTCGTTCATTTGTTCAATTTCATTAAAACTGTTTTAATTTAAATTCATCTAAAATTATATTATTTCAAATTAGTCATTCTCCAAAATCGAGGA